TACGTCATACGCGGACCACCTTTGGACCTCGCCGCCCCCTGGGGGGCTTGCGATCTGCGCAATTCTCGCCACTTTCGTGGGCTCCTGGGAGGCCCAGCGGAGGTGGGTCCCACGCGGAACACTTCGGGACGTCGCCGTTTCTTGTGGGGTTTGCGATCTGCGCGATTTGTTGCCACTTTCGTGGGCTCCTGGGAGGCCCAGCGGAGGTACGTCCCACGCGGATCACATCGGTACTTCGCCGCCCCCCTTGGGTGGGCGTGCGATCTGCGCAATTGTCGCCACGTTCGTGGGCTACTGGGAGGCCCAGAGGAGGTAATCCCACGCGGATCACCTCGGTACCTCGCCGCCCCTTGGGTGGCTTGCGATCTGTGCACTTGTCGCCACTTTCGTGGGCTCCTGGGAGGCCCAGGGGAGGTACGTCATACGCGGACCACCTTTGGACCTCGCCGCCCCCTGGGGGGGTTGAGATCTGCGCAGTTGTCTCCACTTTCGTGGGCTCCTGGGAGGCCCAGCGGAGGTACGTCCCTCGCGGATCACCTCGGTACCTCGCCGCCCCTTGGGGCGCTTGCGATTTGCGCAATTGTCGCCACTTTCGTGGGCTCCTGAGAGGCCCAGCGGAGGTAACTCCCACGCGGTGATTGGGTGTTCTTGCTTATCCTCGGGTCCGCGACCTTTTGCTTTCACTTTTGGGTTCTTTTCTTTGGGTTCGCTGCCGCGCCCTTTTGTCTCCACTTTTGGGTGATCCTCCGCCCCCGTTATGCACCTCATGCATTGGCCTCTTTCAGCGCAGTGCGTTGCTGAGTTAAACCGATGTTCTGGTTAGCCCTCGCCGCCCCCCGCTTTTGTGTTTCTTTCAACGCCCTTGTGCTTCCATTTTGTGTGTTTGCTGTTTCTCTTCTTGATGCTCTCTTCTGATTTCACTCCTGAGTGCTCTTCTTGCGCACTGCGGGTCCTTCAGAACACCAGTCAGCATTCAGTGGTCCTGAAAATAAGCGCCACGTGTATAAAGGGTTTTTTGGTGGGTTCAGGCTAAACGTTCCTTTCCGTTTGTCGGAGCGACGTCGACGACGGCCACGATGACGGCGACGAATCGGGCACACGGGGCAACCCTTGTGTCCGGGCTGCCGGTGGTGACCCATCGGCGGCCGAATCGGGCGCACGGGAAACCGTTGCGTCTGGACCTCGGGTGGTAACACAAACGAGGCCGAATCAGGCACATGGGGAAACCCTTTTGTCTGTGCCAAAGGTGGTAACCCATTGGCGGCCGAATCGGGCGTAGGGGGGAACCCTTTGTGGGGCCTGTTGGGGCTTTCTTGGGAGCCTCTTGGAGGCCTACTCGGAGCAATTCAGAACGTCTCAGAGGCTTCTTTGGCGGTTTTGGAATCATTTGGCCGTTTTGAATCAATTTTGGGTTGTTGTGAGAGCATTTCGGGGCCATCTTGGACCCACCACACAAGGCATTATATTATAGATTCATCGCAATGGAAAGTACTTTGTAAACCGCCACAAAAATCATTTCATTGTTAAACATATGTTCTTTGAGACCAAAAGAAAAAGTGAAATTTGGACATTCTGAACAAATTGGAAGGACATTGAAAGACCTGACTTTTTAAGCCACTCACAGAAAAGGAATTCGAATAGTAAAGCCGCCGCAGCATACATGTAAGTATAAAAAACAACATGATTTATGGACTGTGATTGACTTCATATGCAAAAGTATTAATCAGGATATGCAATTTCCCATTGTTCCTTCAATTGATTCAAAGACTGTTGTTTTTGATTGTCTCTTCCAGCTCTCAATAGAGTCCTCTTTTTTGTGGTGCACCAGCAAAATGGGTTGAGAATTGTCGTCACACGTCACAAGGAATCGCGATGTACATTTGCCATGACAATTAATTGAATGTACATGCGCTTCGGTAAGAACTATATTGGAAATCAACTCACACATGAAAATCTTTTTGCAAACGCGCCGCACAAGGAATTGAATCGTCAACACATCGCAACGGAAACAATGTTGACCGCCCGAGCAGGAATTTAGTTGCAATCCTTGTGCAAGTGTAAACTAGACGGAATGGTTTGTTTGAGTAATCAACATTGAAACACATTGCAACACGTGCAAAGTTGAAGTCTCCAGAACCCCCACAGAAGAGATTCGAAATGTAAACCGGGTGCAGAAGTAATATAATTTTAAAGCCGCCAGAAAAACAATCTAATGATAACGGAATTGCAATGCAGATGCAATCCAAATTTCATGAGGGATTCGTCGTCGTCGTCCTCCTCCTCCTCGTCCTCCTCCTCCTCCGTGAATTCTCCCCCGAACCACGCCCCTGGCTAGGCCTGTATATCCATGTGCATCTATATTCATACACATATAAATATACAAATACGCCCCCCCCCAGCGACATCCTCCGTGACATCCTGGGGCGAATCCCGGTACCGCGCCCCCGGGCCTCCTAGGGAGGCCTCAAAGCACCCCAGGACGGCCCAAGATGCCACCAAGGAGCCCTCAGAACGCGAATGGACGGCCCAAGACGCTCCCATGCAGCCCAAGACAGACTTCCGACGGCTCTCCAGGCTCCCAGGAGACTTCTGAGAGTCCGCAAGAGAGAGCTTCGAGAGACGTCCCGGGAGCGCCCGAAGAGGCTAAACTCGTTGATTGTCATCGGTGTCTTTTGCCGATGTTTAGCCTTCTCGCGTTTTCGAGCTTCCACCGCTCCAAGAAGGCCGAAAAGAGGCTCCCAAGTCCGCCCCAAGACCGCCCCCAAGACGGCTCCACGACGAGCCAAGAAGGCCCCAAGACGGCCCAAAAGCGCCCCGAGGCAGCCCAAGAGAGCTCGAAGATGGCCCATAAAGCCGCCCAACAGGGAGAACGCAAATTGACCATCCTGGTTTCCCGCTCGAAGAGGCCCCACGAAGGCCCCAAGAGTCCCCCCAAAGGAACCTGAAGAGGCCCCCGAAGAGCCCCGAGGAGGCCCGAAAAAGTAGCCCCAAGAAGCCCCAAAGCGGTCCCCCGGCGGCCTCCAAACTGCCTCCCAAGAGTTCCCTGCACGCCTCTGAGGCCCCCCTGGGTGCCTGCGTACTACATGTTAGGAGGCCTTACTAAAACAAAAGAAGGACATCCAGTTCATCCGAGCACCATCAAGGCTTCGGGGTCACACTGCAACATTTCTTTTTCGGGAGTGCTGTTGAACTCTCTGACGCTGTCTTGGCACTCTCTTGGGTCGTCTTCGTGTCCTCTTGGCTGCCCTCGAAACCACAGCAAAAATCGAGGTCCCATGAGTTCGCCTGTCCAGCCTAGCTAGAACGTCAGCGCGCGCGCGCCAAGAAAGAGGCAAAAGAGGGGACCCCCCAAAGCCTTACGAGCGTTTTGCCACAAGGTGGCCCCAGGGTTCTCCCAGAGGTTCTCGAGGTGCCCGCCAGATGCCTGCGGAGACTCCCAGGAGACTCTTTGGAAAGGTTCGCGCTTTGCCTCAAGATGGCTCCAAGATTCTCGTGAAGGCTCTCGAGGCGGCCCCCAGATGCCTCCAGAGACTCCCAGGAGGCTTCCAGGAGGCAGGAGCTTCCCAAGAGGCCTCGAAAGACTCCCAAGACGCCGCCTAAAGGCACCCAGAGGCGCCCCAACAGCCCATAGCCTGTATCCAGGAAACTCCTGACCCACGGCCCAGGCATGGCAATTTGGAACAAGGTGACTTCAAGAATAAATGTACCGCAGGCTTGCTTTCGCACGACAGGCCATAATTGAGGACCCCGTCACCACCGAAGGAAGATCCCAGGAAGCTTTCGATGACCCCAAATCATCGAACACGTGAAGGAACTTGATGATGTTGTGGTTTCCGCACTTCCGCTTTTACACGCTTCCGAGGCTTGCGCAGGGATTCCAAGAGGGTCGTTCGATGCACAAGGCACTTCAACAGTTGAGATTCTCTGCGTTAGCCTGACGAGTCTAGGTAGAACTTGAGCGCGCGCGAAGCGCGCGATGGTTCTGATATATGCATTTATTTCATATGCATTATATATACGGATGTGTATGCATGTATGCATGTATATATATATATATATATATATATATATGTATACGTATTCATATTCACACCGTTCCTGGGCCGCGCTGGGAAGGCAAACCTGAGCTGGCCTGGTGGTGGCGTGGCCCGAGCTGAACGTCGCTGTGGCGATTTCGTTGACCGTCTCCCGTCTGATTTTCCATTTTGCAGCAAAGGTGGAACGGAGAAAGAACGGGGGGAAACGAAACCAGCGCAAACGGAAAACACTGCCTAGCACGTGCCCCCGGTGGTGGTGCACGCTCGCTTGCTGCCACTGGCGGCACAAAGCGGGCGCGCACAGAGACAGGCCGGGAAGGTCGGGAGCGGGGCTGGAGCGGCCAGTGACGGCAGCGCCGGAGGAGCCCGGGCGAGAAGAGCCCGAGCTGGTAGAGACGGGGGCCAAGGCATACGGGGGTCAGCCAGCGCGCCAGATCTTGCAGGGTTTCTGCAAGGCCAGGGTCGCATTGACCCGGGGCTGGGGCGCGGGATCCTGCAGGATTTTGCAGAGCTAGACTGACCGGGGTATTTATCCGGATCAGTAGAAGCCCGAAGGGTTTCGCCTGGTAGGGCTTCGAGTTGCGCACAGACAGCCCCCGAAGGTAGTCCCAGCTGGTCTCAACATGGCCCCCCTAGTAGTCCTGGCTGGTCTCAACAGGCCCCCCCGAGTAGTCTGGGGCGTTGGGAAGAGACTATAAGGAGTGGCGTTGGGAAGAAAGTGTTGGAATAGCTGGAGCAGGGGGGTGTACATTGCATGTAGATTTCCGCAGTGCGAGGACGTGCATATCAACACTTCCACAAGCCGAGCAGAAATTCCGTGCAACGGTGCTCCCGATATTTTGCGGTCCAGGGGCCAGTGTGAAGTTAGCGTGAGACGGTGCGAACGGCAGGAAGGTCCAGTGTTCAAAGCAATGTCAATGTCGCAAATGTCAGACCCTCCGATGTGATCAGTTTTGGCCCCAGGGGGGGTCTGGCGAACTTGTTGCTCCTGTGTGCGCTCTTCTTCAGTATCGCACTGACGATTTTGCAGCAAATAGCCATCTTGGGGATGATGGACAAGATCCAGTGGAAGGAGCCAATGGTTTCTCTATTGAGGTGGGTGAGCCTTGTCGCGTTCGACATTGAGATTGTGAATGTCAATTGTCTCTTCGGTAGTGAGCCCTTAAACACGTTTGCCTTCCAAGTTGGTTTTGTGTTCGTCGCTTTCGGGGTGCTCCTTTTATACCACTGTACCGTGGTTGTATGGCGTCACCATGGCAATTTTCGTCGCCGATTGCCGTCTCTTTGGGCATCGCTTGGCACTATCACTCAGATTTTTTACATATCTATCATCACGACAGTTGTGGGGCCGTTCCAGTGCTTGAAGCACCCTAACGAACGCTGGACCATGCGTGCCTACCAGTCCGTGATCTGTTGGGAGAGCAACGAGCATTCCGCCATGCTTGCAATCGGCCTGGTAGCTTTACTGTTCCCCCTCGCCTTCTTGGCAAAGTGTTGCCAGGTGGTGTGGGGCTTCCCAGCAAAACTGAAGCTTGGGAAGACAAGGGTTCTCAAGTCCTTCACATTCCTGTTTTTCAGATACAAGACTGAGTGCTATTGGTATTCGGTTGTGCACATGTTGCGTAGTCTAGCCATTGGCTTGACTCCCGCCATTCCAGACCTATCTGCACAAGTATTGATTATGCAAAGCGTTCTGCTGCTACAGCTGATCTGTACGGTATACTGGTCACCTTGGCGTGTGCCGCAAGCAACTCGTTTTGATATTTTGTCTACAACTACGATGCTTGTCGTCGTGGGATGTGCAGCTTTCTATGTCGATGCCCCACCAGACAGTGCCCTCGCCGTGTTGGCAGCCATGCTGATATCCAGCTGCCTGCGGCAAGTCCCGCCACTGTGCCAGCCCAGCATTCTAGGTGCCCTTTCTTCGAGGGTGCACAGGAGGCCGTTTCGTGCAACATTTCGTGTCCCCCAGCTTGGGGAGCCGTGATGAGGATGGCGAGGATGATAATGACCAGGATGATGATGATGAGGAGGAGGAGGAGGAGGAGCAGGAGCAGGATAAGGAACAGGATTTAGAAGAGGAGGATGGCCGTCTCATGTGACTTCTTTCGTCTGCTCTTACTGATGAGCTCTCATGAAGCTGATTTGGACCGTCTTGGGTCTGGCTTGGGCTCCTGTTGGGCAGTCTTGGGGGCCCTTTCGGGCCGTCTCGGGTCCCTCTTGGGTCGTCTTTGAGCTCTCTGGGGCCGTCTTTGGGCTTGGGGCCGTCCTGGAGCCATTTTGGCGACGCCTGGGGCCGCCGAAGGGCCTTCCAAGGCCGTCTTGGGTCTCTCCCGAGGCCCCCTCTGGCTGTCTTGGTGGCGTCTTGGAGGCCTCTGGGGCCATTGGCCATTATGGGGTCCTTTCGGGCCGTGTCGAGACCCTCTTGCGGGCCCCTTGGACCATACCTCCTGGAGGTCGTCCACTTGCCAAAGGGTCAGAAGAAACGGTTGGTTTCCTGAAGTGATCCAGGTTTGGTTCGCATTTAGCGGAAGGTAGCAGGAGGGACGATACCAATCAGGAAAGGAGGCTGGAGCTGACGGACGCCCGAAAATTCAAGAATGCGATCGCACTTGAAACACCAGCAACACAACACATACGTGTCGCTCCTTCAAACCCTGTCGGGGGTCCTCCTGGAGGCATCTAATGGCCGTCTTGAGGCCAAATTCGGTCTTGGGTGAATTCTAGACGCTTCGCGTATCCCCACCAGCCCGTCCAGAAATGAGTCCCAGGGGAGTGGAGGTTATGAGGGAAGCGGGGGAGCATGCAGAAGAACAAAGGGCGGGGTGAGCCGCCATATACCCCAAGAGGGGGAGGATGTAGGAGGAGCCGTCGTCGTCGGAGTAGGAGGAGGAAGAGGAGGAGCAGGAGGAGGAGCAGGAGGAGGAGGAGGAGGAATAGAAGGAGGAGGAGATGGAGGACTGCGAGGACGAGGAGGACGAGAAGAAGGAAAAGGAGAAGGAGGAGGAGGAGGAGGAGGAGGAGGAGGAGGAGGGGGAGGGGGAGGAGGGAGGAGGAAGAACAAGAGGAGGAGGAGGAGGAGGAGGAGGAGGACAATTGCGAGCTTGGGGGCCTCTTGGGCCGTCCTTGGGGCCTCTTGGCGGTCCCGGGGGCCTCTTGCGTATCTCGGGGAGCCTCTTGTGGCCTCTTGGGGGTCTCTTGGGGGCCTCTTGGAGGCCTCTTGGGGGCCTCTTGGGGCCTCTTGGGGCCCTCTTGGGGCGCTCTTGGGGCGCTCTTGGGAGCCTTCGAGGCGCTCTTGGGGCCATCTTGGAGGAGATCTATCAAAGAAGGGGGGGTCCCCAATTAGCGCTGCTCCTCTAGAGTGCCTCGAGTCGCCTCTTGGGCCCCCCCAAGAGGCCAAAATCCTTCCAAAACCTAGGTAAAATCAATGTTTTTTGTTTTCTCGCCTTTTCGCTCTTGGACCCGTCTTGGGAGCCTCTTGGGCCTCTTGGGGGTCTCTTGGGGGCCTCTTGGAGGCCTCTTGGGCGCCTCTTGGGGCCTCTTGGGGCGCTCTCGGGGCGCTCTTGGGGCGCTCTTGGGAGCCTTCGGGGCGCTCTTGGGGCCATCTTGGAGGAGATCGATCAGAGAAGAGGGGGTCCCCAATTAGCGTTGCCCCTCTAGAGTGCCTCGAGTCGCCTCTTGGGCGCCCCAAGAGGCCAAAATCCTTCCAAAACCTAGGTAAAATCAATGTTTGTTGCTTTCTCGCCTTTTCGCTCTTGGAGCCGTCTTGGGTCATCTTGGACTCTCTTGGGGCCTCTTGGGGGTCTCTTGGCAACGTCTTGGAGGCTTCTTGGGGGCCTCTTGGGGTCTCTTGGGGCCCTCTTGAGGCGCTCTTGGGGCGCTCTTGGGAGCCTTCGGGGCGCTCTTTGGGCCATCTTGGAGGAGATCTATCAAAGAAGGGGGGGGTGCTTATTAGCCCCGCCCCTCCAGAGTGCCTCGAGTCGCCTCTTGGGCCCCCCCAAGATGCCAAAATCCTTCCAAAACCTAGGTAAAATCAATGTTTTGTGTTTTCTCGCCTGTTCGCTCTTGGAGCTGTCTTGGGCCATCTTGGACGCTCTGACACCTCGCGACCGGCCCCGTCCAGGTCAGTGGGGAGGGGTAAGGGGAGGGGTAAACCCCTCCCCGAAGGGGAAGAAGGGGGTTGGCAGAGGAAACTCCCTAGACCACCTACGCCCTAAAGGGCTGGTGGGATTTCAGGGCCATCTTGGCGACCTTGGTTTCCTGACCCGGCCGTTCTCGAAGCTCGGCAGCGCGGATCCATTGTTCATTGTTGGCGAATGTGACCTCGAAAGTTCGGATTCCCACGTTTTCCAAACCATCCTGTGGTGTTGGATCCTCGTTTTGAAGAGAGAGCGCCCCGCGTCCCTCCTTCCCTCGCTCCCGCATCTTCCTCCCGCTCCTCCCTCCTCCCATCCCTGCCTCGTCCCCCCGCACTCCGCATGTCTTTGTCGCCGTCGTCATCATCATCATCATCATCATCATCATCATCATCGTCGTCGTCGTCGTCGTCGTCGTCGTCGTCGTCGTCGTCGTCGTCGTCACCATCCGTCGCCAGTTTTGCTCAAGTTTGAAACCAGTGGCCTGTGTCGTCGAGCTTGACCGCAGCCAAAGGCCTGGCTCGAAAACCGTGGCCACGAGGTGGCTGTTGATCCACCGTATAGCATCCAATGTGCGAGTTGTTTCCCGCATCTCTCACGTCTGATCGTCTGCAACCATGGCCTTCGATCTTGCGACCCCAGAGGAGGTGTTCGCCTAGCTTTGTCAAGCAACTGGACAGATGCTCGACAATAAGATCTCGGGTATGCAAGGAGCAGTCCGTCAAGGATCCGAGCACCAGGTTCGATGGCGCCCCTGCTAAGCAGGATACGGTTCAGACCCGGTTGGATGCATTTGAACACGCTCATTCGTTGGTTGTCTTTAAGGTGCCCGCTTCTCACTCGGTTCTTGGCAAGTGGCGTGTAATTGACGTTGGTTCGGATGTTTCGACAGGCGACCCAGGGGGAAAGCTCGGTTTTGCTGGAAGACGCGCATCGGCTCCTGATTCTTCTCGGTTTTGAGATCGTCTGGCGGCGCAGACCCGTGAACCAGTGGCCGAGGAAATCATTTCGGAGTGTGCGACAGAAGCAGCAGGAATATTGATCCTCATCTATGCGCGTGACCTTCATACGAAAATCGCATTGTATCCCCCCCAGCCATGGCGTCGAACTCCCCTGGCAACCTTCGGAAGCTCGATGTGTCAGCGAGGCGTGCCAGATGACCAATCCTCGGGACCTTGCCGACGTGTGGCCACTTCGCGTTCGTCGTAATAATTGTCCTCGACGCCGTTTGTTATTATTCAAGACGCGCGAGGTCCGTCAAATTGTCCAGGAAGAGTAAGAACAGGTATTCAGGCGAAGTCGATTGGGATCGGTGGGGGGATCTTCGGGATGCGCTCGAGGGAGGACCCCATCCCTCTGTGTCATTTTTTTGGGGCCCGCAGAATCCCCATGTCTTTCTCGCACGTCGAAGGATGATGCTGGCGTCCGCGCGCTGGGCCTAGATCCTTTTCTGGCAGAAGTTTACGGATGAGTTTGATACGGCTCCCTCGCGTCCCTCTTAAATATGAATTTGATTGGTTGGGCCGTTTGGGGGCCTTTAGCTCTGTCAGTAGTTGTTCCTGTAGTTAGGAATCGGAGTCGGGCGAGTCCAGCTGCGCCTCTCACGATGGTGTGGGCGCGCCATTTGAAATCTATCTCCCTTGTTCCCTTCCGTTTTCTGCAGCTCTGCCTGCATTTACTTGGAACGCTGGAGGACTCTTCGCCGCCTTCGCCTCTCCCCCTCTGCGCGCGCCACGGCGGTGCAAGAAGCTCTTGGCAAACGCTCTCTGTTTGCCAGAAGCGCAGGGGGCAGCTGGAGATGCGGATTCATTGCGCCGCGATTTTCGTGGAGCGAGTCTTGGATTCTGGGTGTGTCTTTGAAATTGCTGGTGGAGTTCTGACCGTTTCATCCTTCTTCGCGGACATTCGGCCGTCTGTCGTTGACCCCCAGAGGATCTTTATAGATCGAAATGTACTGGTCCATGTGGATCTTGAGTCGCTCAGCGTTCATCTTCCCCCCATGGCGAACCCGCCTGGGCGTTCTGGCGTTCTCTCCGGCACGCTTGGGCGTCGCTGAAACGACGCGTGGAAGGCGACGGTTCCGGTTGCGGGGTCGCTCAACTTTTGCTCTGGAGGAAGACGGGGGGCGGTGCGGCAGCGGCTGTGGGCGGCGCCCTCGGGACCAGTGCCGGCCTGGCGCGTTCGCTCGGGAGTGTCTCCGCCGGTCTGAATGCGCCAGCCTGGCCCGACTCGTCGCGCAATGCGCACTTGGGCGCTGTTTCTCGCGAGCCGCCAGGACCATCTCTACCTCGCCAATTCCGTTGCCATCCTGCCTGGCCCCATTGTCGTGCGCTCTGCCATTTGGGGCGGGTGGGCAGCGCTTGTTTCCTTCCGGAACTGTGAACCATCAGAGTTCCCGAGGATTCCTTCTTGCGTCGGTTCTCCTGCCGTTTAACTAAAATTATTCTCCCAAGATTTGGACCGACCAGCGCTATTTGGTCAACGGCGCGCTCTGGTGAAGACATGTACGTGTGATGCTTGTGCCCAAACTAAAAGTCGGATGACCACTGCGTTGGCTATCAACGCCGATGAGAAGAAACATTTTGCGTTTGTGGCATTGCGGTGGGTGCGGGCCTGGAACTTCGAGAGAGTCGCGCATGTTGTTCGCTGCAATTCTCTTCTCGCTTGCTTCTTCTACCTCGATGCTGGCATGTGCCGCTATTTCCAGAATTTGTGTGACCGCCTCCAGTGAGTTGGAACAGGAGACAGAACAGAAGTCTGTGCCGGTAAAAGCCTGGATCCAGAGGCTAAGCAAAAAATGTGGCGTCCTTTGAACGACGGAATCTTCCTGGGCTCGATCCTGGACCCCCCGACCCCCCATCCCCGCCCCTCGATGCATGCGCGCGGGGGGTTGGGGCGCGCGGCAGTGGGAAGCAATGTATTTTTCGGCGCTCGCGATTGTGATGATGCTTGCTGGCTTGACTTGGAGGGCCACGCGGCAGGCGTTTCAGGGATCGCGGGTGATGAGCGGTTCAGGGAGTTTTGATGATTTGGGGAGAATGTTTCATGGTCGGAAGGACGCATCGCCTGGGCCCGATGGTATCGCGTATTCAAGCTGGAACCTCCCCGCACCATAACCATCCTTCTCCATCTCTACCGTCCCCCACCCAGTGCAGCGCTTCGTGGCCCCCATTGGAAGCTCCGCCGAGCTCCCCAGCAGCACCGTCCGCATACGCCCCCCGTCCCCCCGCCACCCCCACCCAGCACAGCGTTTCGTAGCCCCACAAGGAGCTCCACCGAAGCCCACGGTGGCACCGTCCGCATGCCCCCCACCCCCCCCAGCGCATCGCTTCGTAGTCCCACTGGGAGGTTACCCGAATATGCGTCTCCCCCAAGCCAGTACAGCGCTTCATGGCCCCAGACGGAACTCATCCAAAAAGCCCCAATGGCACCGTCCGCGTGCTTTTCCCCCGCCCAGCACAGCTTTTCGTGGCCCCACTGGGGGCACCACCAAAGGCCCCAGTGGCACCGTCCGCACGCGCCTCCCCCATCCAGCGCAAATGTTTCGTGGCCAAATCGGGGGTTCCACCGAAGGTCCCAATGGCACCGTTCACATGCGCCCCCCCGCCGAGTGCGCCGTTTTGTGGCCCCACAGGGAGCCCCCCCGAAGCTCTTGGTGGCACCTGCCGCGTGCGTCTCCACCATCCAGTGCAGCGTGTCGTGGCTCCACATGGAGCCCCACCGAATGCTACGGTGGCACCGTCCGCACGCGTCTCCTCTATCCAGCGCAATGTTTCGTGGCCCAATCGGGGTTTCCACCGAAGGTCCCAACGGCACCGTTCGCATGCGCCCTCCCGCCGAGTACACCGTTTTGTAGCCCAACAGGGAACCTCACCGAAGCTGTTGCTGCACCGTCCGCGTGCGCCCCCACCATCCAGTGCAACGTCTCGTGGCCCCACAAGGAACTCCGTTTAAGGCCCCGGTGGCCGCAACTGCACGCATTGGCCCCATGCAGTACAGCGCTTCGTGGCCCCATCTGGGGCTCCACCGAAAGCCCCAATGGCAGCGGCCGAATGCTTCGTTCGCATTCGCACCCCAGGCCCATGTCGGTGCAGCCCTCACACGTTTCGTGGCCCCATAGGGAGTTCGACCTAAGGTCCCAATGGCACAGTTCGCATGCGCTCCACCACCACCACCACCACCACCACCACCACCACCACCACCGCCACCACCACCACCACCACCACCACCACCACCACCACCACCACCACCACGGCGGCACACCCCTCACGCGTTCCGTGTCCGCATAAGGGGGCTCGGTGACCACCACGCGGTGTTCACAACTGCATATGGCTAGGCCTTTCGCCCGGATCATTTTACGATGGGTCGTGGCCTCCAGAGGGAGAGGGATGCATGCAACATCCTATCACTAGGGCGAGGCCCTGCTGGGCAGCCCTGGTCCGAGGCCGAGGCCCTGCTGGGCCGAGGCCCTGCCAGGCAGCCCTTGGCACTCCCCCGCGCCTCAGCGTGCGCAGGGGGCACGGCGGCGGATCCGGGCTGCTGCTGGGCCTCCTGCTCACGGTGGTTTGGAAGCTGGCCCACGCAGCGCTGCGCCGGCGCGACAAGGAGTTCGACTTCTTCCTGTGCCACCACAAGCTCGCAGCCGGCAGCTGCGCCCGGCTGCTCAAGGTGCAGCTCTGCAGCCGCGGGGGCAGCAGGCGGAGGGTGTTCCTGGACTGCGACGACCTGAAAGATTTGGAGACGCTCTTCGACACCGTGGCAAACCGAGTGCAGGTGTTCGTCACCCTGTGCACGAAGGAGTTATTTCTACGCCCCTGGTGCATGGGAGAGGTGATCACTGCTCACCACTGCAAGCTCCAAACTGTGAAACTAGTTTTCCCAGATTTCACCGAGCCAGACGAGGCGTATATTTTTGAGTACGAGGATAGTTCGAAGGACCTCAGCGTGTTGACTGGATACGGTTATTCAATCGAGGATGTGAGAGTTGCGTTGCGCTGGGTGCCTCAGATTACCAGCTATAGCATTCCGTCTGCGATCACCAGTGTTAGCATGGAAGAAATCGCGGATCGGCTCGAAGATTGCATTATTTCCCATTCGCCCAGCGGCACAAGAGGTTCTCCCAGGGGCCCTAGTGGCAGAGCCAACAGGGCTTCCATTGGGGGAAATTCTACTTGGATCATCCACGATGAGAGCAGCCTCGAGGCAGGGGCTACAGCCGCAGTCATGGCCCATTTGTTGATGGTAAGTTTTGTCCACATCCCTTTCGAAATTCCACAAGTGCTTCTTGGTGGGCGGGACGTTCCTGATAGCGCAACGAAGCTGATCATATTGTGCACAAGCAACGTGCTGCAGCAGCCTTCTATACTGAAGCATTTCGAGAGAGGAATCGATCTTGACGTGTGTTTCTACCCCGTAATTGGAGATGAAGGCTTCCGCTTTCCCGGCGCGTCGTTCAAGAAAGACACCATGAAGTTGGCAGCTGCCATCCTCGACGACCCAGACGAAGTGCTGTCAGCAGTCTTGGCGATGTTCAAGGCCATCGCAGGGAGCTTCCTGGCGAGCTCCAGCTCCGCGACCGTGCTGGCAAACCAGGCCGCCTGCCGCCACCGCTGCGCCGCCGTCGCCGTCCGACAAACATCCATTTAAACCAGTTTCCAGACACTTCCCGTTACCAGCCTGAAGCAGATCTCCATCCTTACGACCGGAACTTTTTTTCTCAGTGCAAGTCGTGAGGTTTCTCCCAGCTGTTGGGAGTGCACCCTTAAAATTGCAATCGCCTTGCGTTTGCCAGTCTTGAGGGATATATGATCGTTCTTGTAATACTCCTGGGGGTAACGCGCGCTACCTCCTCCCAGACCCCACCCGTAACACAAGCCGGGCACAATCGTGTGAATCCTTGCAATTTCCAAAGGATGCCGTAAGGAGTACACAGGCGCTCCGAGGCACGCAGGCATCGACGTGCACGCAGGGCCATTGCACTGCTGTGTACACGGGCGCTATGTGCAGGTGCCTACTGTAGTGTGCACAGGCGTTGCGGTGTTCACAGGCGTTGTGGTGCACGGAAGCATTGTAGTGTACACAGGCGCCGTGGAGCACGCGGCTGCTGTGGTGTACGCAGGCGTTGTGGGTTACGCAAGCGCTGGGGCGCAGCATAATGGTATGAGAAGAGGAGGAGGTGGCGGAGGCGGAGGCGGAGGCGGAGGAGGAGGAGGCGGAGGCGGAGGCGGAGGAGGAGGAGGAGAAGAAGAAGGAGGAGGAGGAGGAGGAGGAGGACGCGGAGGAGGAGTAGGAGGTTGCAAGGGGGAGGGAGCCGGATACCAGCACACTCGCAGCTTGGTGGCCCCACCGGGGGGGGGGCCCGCGGGCTCTCGTTGTCGTCATCTGCTGTCCCTGTCCTCAGACAGCTCGCTGGCGCAGAGAGAGCGCGGCGGCGACCCCAGCGCGGGCGTTCAACGTTGCGACGCGCACGGGGGAGGTCCTTCGGGCTCCAGGATTCTAAAAAAACGAGCCCGCGGTGCGAAATCATGGTGCAATCTGGGGCCGAGAATTTCTCATTGCGCAGACCGTTCAAGATTGAACGATCCACGTGGTATCAGAAGCCAACTTCAAGGGCGTCGCGACACGGACCTTCCTTACAGCCGACGCCCCACGTTTTCCTGCCTTCCCCACCTCCAGCCTCTCCTCACTTCCTCTCCAACCTCCTCCCAAATCCCCCCGCCTCTCCCCACCTCTACCCACGTCTGTCCGAGTCCGAGTTCTCCCACCTCCCACGTCATCCCGAGTCCTGCCACAGGCGACTAGGTGCTGTGGTGCGCGCGGTTGCTGTGGTGTACGGGGGCACTCTGGGCGGCGCTGTGTTGCATGTAGGCATTGGGCAAATTCTCGTGCACACAGGGACTGGCACGCAGGCGTTGGGCACTGTCGTGTACCCAGGGCTTGTGGTGCACAGGCGATTGATGTGTTGGTGGTTCAGGCTCACCCTGGCGGGTGGACGCCGCGGCCGCCGTTGCCGTTACCCCCGCCCGCGCCCCCCTTCTCCGGGGGTAACACGCGTTAGCCCCCCAATGGATACAAGAACGATGATGAGGGAGCTTGGCATCGCTCGGACGTGTGTGTGTTTTTTTTTCTCTCGGCGAGGACCATCGAGGAGCATCCTTGATCATTTGGCGAAAAAACCACGCACGACACCGAAAAAAACAAAGGGAATGGACGTCCGAGCGATGGCGAGGGAGATGTTCGAACCTGGTTGCGGCGGGCTCATGTCGTGTCGACCCCCGCGTGGGTTTCCGCTGCGCGGCGTCCGCACGGGGGCCTTGGGCATCTCGCTGCTCGACGGCCAGGACGCGCAGGCCCCCGCCCCTTGGCATCGCTCGGACGCGTGCGTTTTTTTCTCGGCGAGGACCATCGAGGAGCATCCTTGATCATTTGGCGAAAAAACCACGCACGAAACCGAAACAAAACACAAGGAATGGACGTCCGAGCGATGCCCAGGCCCCGCTTGCCTCGTCCCGCGCTGCCGGTGGTGCCCATGAGTGGTCGTGGGCCACGTGGAGGTGCCAGCCGGTACAGGGTGGGTCGCCGAGGCGAGCGGCTGTGGCGATGAATCTCGGCTCCGCGTCGGGCGGCCCGCCCCTTCGCTCGCCCTGCCACATGCAGTGCGTCGACAACTTTGCCAACATCGGCCAGGACGCCCGCGGGGCGCGCAGCAGCGTGACCAGGGCCACGGGCGAGTTATAGCGACGCGGGCTCATCGCGACCAGGGGGGCTCACTTCGGCGACGAGGATGGCGAGTGCAGCGCGCGGGGCCGGTCGCTCCTTGCTGACGGCCGTTTTTCATCATCTGCATCGCGGCTGCGGCGCGCGCGGCTCGCGGCGGGGGGCCGGGCCCGCGGCCGCGCGTGTGGCCGCGATCTCGAGAGGGCCCTCGGCCACAAGGTCTTCGTCGCTCTCGCGCGCCGAAAGGGGTTTCCGCTTCCGCTTCCGCTTCCGCGTTTCCCAATCGCGCTTCCGCTTCGCCCAGAAGCGCTCATTACCAGGCGGAGCCCCCGCCTTGGGGCCAGGTTGAGCACGAGCTCATGGACAGGGCTGGCGTCACTCTTTTGGTGTAGCGTGACCTCCGATCGCAGTGGCCCCCTCCTGTTGGTTGCGCGGACGCCTCCCTTCGGGGGTTCGGCGCTTGCGAAGCCGCGCGGGAGGTGGGCGCCGTGCGCGAGGTGGGTCGCCATGCGGAGAGGCGGCGTCGACGGGCTGTGCGCTTGCCCCAATCATCCACGCGCCCTCGCCCCCGACCTCGCGGCCGAGGGGTCGGCGCCGCCGTGCGCGGCCAGCCGGCGCCCTGGAGGTTCCGAGGAGCGCGGTGGAAAATAATCCGTGGAGCATCGCTGGAGGGCCAAGGCGGGGCCGTCTTGCAGGCCGTTCTGCGCCATGTCCGACGCGCTTTGCGCGCTGTGCGTAATCGTGGGGAGCAGCCCTTGTTCTTGGGGCGATTCGCCGGCGTTGGTTTCGGCCGCGAGCAGGACGAGAGCACGCAGTCGCGCTTTGCTGCGCATTCTGCGCGAGATCGGCGGCCTCGCTTTGGCCATTGATTCGGCTTTCACCCTCTGACGGAGTCCTCAACATGTCCCCCGACGGCGCAGGATTTGCAACATGGCATCGGTGAAGGTGCCGAAGTGCTTGAAATTCGCCATCGGCCCAGGCACCGCGCCACCATCGACCGCGGCCCGACCCAGGACTCGCGCCAGGGCGGCGAGGGTCAGGGCCTGGTCCAGGGCGAGCTCGACAGATCTACCTCGCGCGTTTTCCCAGCTCGGTCAACGCCAGACCTGATCGAACTGCGCGATCGCGGCGATGGCGCGGAGTGGCCCTCGGCATGCCAAGGCGGGGCCACGCGACGACCTGCCTCTGTCCAAACAGGCGGCCAAGGGGCGCTGCAACCTCGCGCCCGCCAAGGGCCTCACGGCGCTGCGCGTCGAGGCAGTCGCCGAGATCATCAACTACGCGGGGCGATCGCGGCGCGGCTGCTCATCCAGATCCACGGGCCTGAGGGCCATGGGCGCGATGCCACCGGTGCCTGCCCGACGCACGTCGCTTCTTGTCCGCGACGCCGGGCGCGCAGGAGGTCGGGGGCGGCGATGACAGGGGCGTTCGACGCGGCGGCGAGGCTCGACCTCGAGCGCCAGCTGGGGCCCGGGGCGGCGCCAGCTGGGGCCTGGGACGGCGCGGCCGCAGATGAACGCCTCGCGGCGCCGTGAGGGCGCCGCCGAGAACGTCTTGCCGTTCGCGATCAGCCAGACGGAGGCGGCCGTCGCGCTGCGGGGCGCAGGCGCCGGGGCTCAGGAAGCTGGGCGCGCGTCACTTGCGCGCGTTGCGCCGCTCGGGGCCCAGCCGCGACTGCGTCGTTAACCTGCGCGGCCCGGAGCGCGCCCCCCGCCGGGCGCGCTCGAAGTCGCGGAGCTCCGTCAGGCGGCGCGCGAGAGGCGGCGCCCTGACCGAGCGGCTCCGCATCGCGGGCGCCGCGCAGCGCAGCCGCGCCGAGGTGCGCCGCCGCAGCCTCTGCGCATCCAGGGGCGGCCTGCGCGCGTTATTGGCGCCAATCTGCCCGGGCCGCCAGCGATCCTCAATTTGTTTTCGGGCCGCGGCGGCTTCGGCAAGGCGCGCGCCCGACTTGGCATGCCGGCGCCGCTGCGGCGCGCAAGCCCGGGCGAGTGGCATAATCTCACAGTTGGGCAGCAGGTCCAAGATCCTGCTTTGGGCGAGGAGTGGTCGCAAGAGGTGCTGGCGCCCCATGCGGCGCTTTGACCCGGCGCCGCGGCCGCGTGCATGGGGCCCTGCCCGTGCGCGCTGACAATTGTATTTGTTGCCTTCCTAACTTCCAACCTCGCTTGCAAGCCTTCGCTGATGTCCTGAATGCTGTGAAAGATTTGTCGCGACCGCGCCCTGCGTCAGCATCTTCCCGCGCGCCCCCTGGATTGCCGAGAACCTCGTGACTTCCTGGATCTGGCTCCTGCCCCGCTCCGAAGCCTTATTAGTCCGTCGCGGGTCGATGGTTATCCCGGTCGCGTTCATGCGCCAGCGGGGCGCCCCGTGGAAGATGGGCGCGGGCCGCCTAGCGCCCGACGTTGACGCGCGCCGTTTTTCAGGGGGGCCTGTCTGCGGGGGCCCAGGCGAGATCTGCCCCCGAACGGGCTTCTCTCCAGGGGTGGTTTTCAAACTGGTAGAGGGGCCGTATATCCTGGGCTGTTTTGTTCGGCCTGCCGGGTTATCCCACGGCTCCGGAGTCAAGGCGACTTGTCGCGTCATCGAGAGTGTCCTGTCTAGGGGAGACTGCCTCGCAATTAGGGCTCGGTGTTGGCCGTTTTCGGCGTCGGCAGCTTGCTTTGCGCATTGTGCGCGCATTTGTGCGTTTGTATATCCGAGCGCTTCGGGCCCGCGTGGGCATTGTTGGTGCTTGGTGCCGTTCTCGAAGGCCGGTCCGCTCGGCGCTGTCTCTGACACTAGCTGGCAGAAGCGATTGCTGAGGATTGCTTCCGCGGGTTTGCGATGCACGCGCGTGCCCGCCGCCGCTTTCTGGGCGCTCGAGCCCCTCCATCCCC